GCAAACAAAGACCAGGGTGCACGGAATGGTCTGAGCTGATGAGAGACACATAGCAGGCACAGGCAAAGGGAAGGATCACAGGCAATGCGAAATACATGGATGGTAAATGTTCTTATACTTGTATAGCACTTTTCTATGCAATGAAGCACACTCAAAAGTGCTTTTACTCTATTTTCCATTCACCCATTTGCATGCACAAGCATTCACACACTCATACACTGATGGTACAGCCATCGGGAGCAACTTAGGGTTCAGTGTCTTGCAAAAGGACACTTTGACATGTGAAGTGGAGAAGCCAGGATTCAAACCACCAACCCTCCTGTTAGGAGATGACCCACTCTACCTCCTGAAACACAGCCACCCCAATAGCAAAAAAGAAAAAGAAAAGAAAGAAAAACAAAACAGGGCAATGTGAAGTTGAGGAGGACAAACCTGGGTGAAAGTGCAGGGCGGATAATGAAGCTGCAAAACAAAATGCTGGTATTTTGGATATCTGAGTTCGAGGCTGCTTTGCATTTCAGTTAACCCACTTCTAGGCTTTTTGATCACGTGGGGGTGGTGCCAGCCACTGAGAAGTGAAACATAACTCATGGTATCGGTATGGTATTACCAGCTTGCAGATGGTGCCCTCGGTCCTGGGCATTATGAAGTGACTGTACTCAGGGGTAGTGCTGTCATCTACCAACCGGAAGGCTGGAGGTTTGATTCGTGATGCCTACAGGCCACATGTCAAAGTGTCCACGGGCAAGATACTGAACCCTAAATTGCCCCTGATGGCCCTTATCTTTACACAAAGCAGCCATCTAGCCTAAACTAACTGTACCTATGATAAGTATGAGTACAAACACATTTAACTGTCTGTTGTCAAAAGGAGCTGCACAACTTTAGTAACTATTCTCATAAGAGTAGTGTTAGCATTTTCGTGCATACTACTAGCTGACAAGCTGGTAGTAGAGGAATACAGTAGTTAAATATTAAGGGTTCATCCTCTTGGGAAGATAATGATACTCATTACAACCTGACATGCTGTGGCTGGATTATGTTCAGTAGGCAAAATGTTTTGAATGACTGAAGTACAACCTTTATGAACTGTACCACAGAAAATCCATAGTGCTTTCTGCCAGTACTGTAGAAAACCACATGAAAGCAGCGTACAGTAGGTGGGGACTGGTCTTGTCATCTGTGCCAGCAGCTTATTATGACCAACAATAACATGTTGTAATTAGGCAACCTCTGCCAACTATAATAATTGTGACTCAAACAAAAGAGGACGTTAGGTGATGCAGTCTATAGAACCACAAGATCCTTGTTAATGTCACCATTCTTTCTAGCAATATGTAGGGCTGAAAGAGCACGCACATTTGAAGTAAGACTGTTTTGCCAAACAGCTTTGGGAACATATCCTATTAGACAGAAAAGAATCAAACTGTCTCTATTCAGAATGTGTTTGGGATCATATTTAATTTAGAATAAAAGATTTAATTTGTTACATTACAATAGGTTTTAGGAGCTCAAGAACTATTAATATAACATCTGTAGAAGCTACCTTATACACTATGTTAATCATTAAACCCATAGCTCTGTGTTTTCATTCCTTCAGCTTTTATACCCCTTTATTTCTACATACTTTATCAATGTCCATATGAAATATAACAATAAAATCAAATCTAAACAAATCCTCTATAGCTATAAGTTAAAAGAAAAAAAGAGGCTTCATGGTCATTACATTAACAATTAGCAAGGATTGTTGTGTCATGTATTTGCTTCTACCCTGATGGTATTTAGCCATATACTATTACATGTTCAAGGAATCCCTGCTGGCTTGTTAAAAGTGAACACCAAGGGCAAACTTTTGACACCAAAAAGTGAACACCAAGGGCAAACTTTTGGAGGCAGCTCCTTAATAAGGACAGCAATAAAAGCACCCCGTGGACTGCCAATGAATATGCACACTTGGCATCTACTTTAATTACTGATAAGTTGTGAGCCAGTTAAAGGCAGCGAATTTCCCTCCCCTAGAGGCTCTAATCTGTTTAAAGCCGACTGCTGATCCTCACTGCAGAGTCAGAGGATTCAATGGCAAGTGCCACTGTGGAGTCCCAGAACGGGCGCTATCAGTCTCACATCCCAGTCTCCACATCTCCCAGGGACTGAAATACAAGTTTGCCCTTTTGTGTCCAATTTTCTGGCATGTTTGCTTATTAGGAAATCTGCTCAATCACAGATCAGAAGAAGCTCCAAGAAGTAATTATATTCAGGCATGGAGCTTATGTGTTCTGGGTCCCTTTAAGTGGAGGCAATGTGATGCTTTCCACAGGCTGTTTACATTCACGCTGTTTGGACACTATATGAAATATGGTGCCTGCCTAATACCGAGTACTTAACCTGACATTTCTTCAGACAAAGATACATTTATATAGTGGTTAAGTAAAATATGCAAAAATAACTAATTTTAATTGCACAACTGAAAAACAGCAGATTATTCAGTTTGATACATGTGAGTACTGCCTGAATTGTGTCTGATTGTGACTGAGACTGGGAAATTGTCAACTACTGACAGTGGCCCAGAATCAGAACATTACATTATTGTGAAACTGCAGGATTGTAGATCCAGAATGTTTGTGTGGTGAGTGGTTACAGCATCTGCAGCTCTCATTTTAGTTTTATTGTTTAGTTTTTATTAGGCTTTATTGGCCATCAGTAATATCCATTATGATAACACTATCAATTGAAATGAAGGCTGGAGTTACAAAAATAAAAGCCAAGTTGTGATAAACCACAGATTTTCTTTATCTTGAAATGTATGGAGGTGAGGATTTTACTGACCTCTTGGAAATTGTTTCTTGAAAGGCTTTCATTATCTGCAGATGAGTCTTAGAGGTGCTTCTTGCTTTATGGTATTGTTCAAAGTCTGTTGTGGAATTCATAGTGCTGTTCAGGGCTATTCCTAGAATCAGACAGAAGTTGTGAACACCAGGTGATATTTAGAGATTGAGTAACACATTGGTGCAGGCACCAAGCACTGGCCAGCTCACTGGCCCAGTATACAGGAATTTTCCTGATGGAGGGCATTTCTGACTGAGGGGTTTATGGATTTGAAGCACATACAGGAAGTATGCAAAAACAAAACAAACAAAACCCCAAAACAAGCAAGCCCCAGTCAATGGCATTGAACAGGTTTCAGTGTTACAGGACCAGCTTAACTGCAGGCCAAGGAAATGTGTTAAATCAAATGAACTGAGATGCTATGGGCTTTCCACTCTTTGAGATAATCTAACAGTATATTATATATTATAACAGGATATTGCTGTTTTAAACAGGACCTTCCCCTACATGGACAGAGAGAAAATGCAGATGTTCTCAAAAAAAGGAACTTTATAGAACTTTAAGTTTGCAGATACAATCCACAGATCATTTAGCGCAGCAGCCTAGAAACAAAACACTGATGAGCCCAGATGGGCAAAATGAGTTGCAGCAGTCATCACCTTCCTTGCTTTTATGCAAGATCAAAATAGAGGTCACTGAATCATCAGGCACCTTTTATACCTCTATGGCAGCTGAATATAAGAATGAGTTAAAGCTCAAACTTGGGCAAATCTGACAAAATAAAAGAGCGGGAAGTCTGCTTCAGTGACATGAGTGTAAGTGATACATCAGAGGAGATATTACAAGTGACTGAACCACTGCAACTTGACCCTATCTCTCTGTGTTGGCTTCAGTTTTGATGGGGCCTCTGTAATGTCAGGAAACAATGTCAGGGTTTGTGTGTGCAGAAAAATGGAATCAGTTGGGTCCAGAGAGAGAAGGCTCCTGGCAAGACTCAGGATCTGTGGCCACAAATAGTATGCAAAAAGCAACAAGTGTGAAAACTAGTGATGACTTAAGACACATCTGAATAGGATTCTCAATAGAAAGTTGGCAGCGCTGGACAGCTGCCTCCAGGAGGACCAATACTGAATAACAAGGGCAGCAGCAGCTGTGCTCCCACAGTCAACAGACACTGGTACAAAAAAGAAGCTGCAGATCCATATGATCACTATTACACATGGGTGACGATACCAAGTACCACTTGGGCTGGAGTTTCAGTCCCTCGTGGCTGTAATGGATGTGTGTGCTCTCGACACTTTCCCAAACCCCACTTGGAGTGATCATCACTCTCCCCACGACTTGTTAGAGTACTGAGACACTGCTCTCCCCTGCAGGTCAGCTTAAAATGTACCTCAGAGGATCCATGAGTACAACCTCCTTTCTCTTGCCATTTGAATTCTATCACTCTTTGGACTATGATGATGTAATGTCTGCTTCCAGCACTAAAGCCATGCGTTTGCCCCTTGATTTGTAGGCTGTGAAAACAACAGCAATTTACTAATTTCTCACTATTTGCAGGACAGCTACTGTATTTGCCTTATAGTGTTTATATGGAGCACCATTTATATTAATAAATGAGTTACTTGTGTTACTGCACAGAAGCAAAACATCAGGGTATCAATCAGGTTGCACTGCATGAGTTACAGTATAGTAATAGAAGTTAATGAGTGTGTGCTCTCAATTCTTTTATTTCTCTCTGAATTTAAACTATGCTTGGCTGGGTGTATTTTTTGTTGTTGTTTGTTTTTTAAGTTAATTTTAAGGCACCTTTTCTGATGTGGATAAACAACTGCTTGTGCATTTGCTGTGCTTTTTCTGAGTTGACCATGGCTGTAAAGCATGACTGATGTGCAATTTCTGTCTTAACACTCTATGCAGTCTATGTATATGATTAATTACCACTGTGCAATAAAATGATCAATTATGTGTTAATACAGAACCAAAAGCCTCATCATTTGCTGCTGCAAATGCATTTTAGGCTGCGTAGATAGATAAGATAATCCTTTATTGTCATTTTAACATGTACAACGAAATTTTAGAGTGACCTTCAGTCGGTGCAGCAATAAAAGAAAAACAGTATTTTGAAAACAAATGAAATAAGACCATATAAAAAATTTAACCACTAAAAAAACAAAATAACAGACCTCTCACACCCCTCCTCACACACAGGCATATTATATTTTAGCAGCATTGAGTGTGGTAACAGCTGATATTCTTGAATGTAATGGTCCTTGATTTGATTACTCTGAACCATCTGCCTGACGACAGCAGTTCAAACAGTGAACGTCCTGGCTGTGAAGTATCCTTAGTTTAATTTTCCTTGGGCTGACTGATTAATTGGACGTGTTTGGTACATTTCTCTCTCTCCAAAAGTCAAAAACACCTTTCGGTTTTCACCTTTTCTTTTGGTCACCCATTTTTTCCATCTACTGCAGATTGGTGTCTGCATCAAACACACCTTGAGACTGAAAAAGATTACCAACAGTTTCATCCGCATGAGTCCCATGAGCCGGAGTTCTACAGAAACATCAATACTGCTGGTGTATGTGGTGAGGGAGTTGAGTACAACAACTTCTCTTCGGTTTAGATTCATCACACAGCAGCAACAGCAATATGTGTGCCACAGTGTCTGCTTTGAGAGAAGGGCTGTGTGTAAATTTACACATGGGTGCCACAGCAGCAGCAACTTTGTTCAATATCTAAACCTCTGGACACAGGATCCAACAGCAGATAATGTTCTTTGGTTTTCTGAACATCAGAATGGAAAACCATCTGGAGTAATGCAACTATCCTCAGGATGAGTCCTGAGCTCCATCAGATCTGTCACGACACTTTTATTTTGCAGTTGTGCCCTATTCACATAGATTCATAATCATATAATCAATAACACCACAAAATAATTCATATCATATTCTGCAAACAACAACAAAAAAACCATTTTTTAAACAAGTTCATGTATGTGGTAAGGGAGTTGTTCTTTTGTTTGTTTGTTTTTTTCAACCCTGTACCACCAGATGGGCAAACTCACCATGAAGCAATCTGTTATCTGCAGTTATCTCAAAATCAATCCCAGACCCAACTCAAATGTCAGACCTGACCCATATTTAAATGCAGGCTCAGAGCTGCTACTGGACGGTGAAGGCGTAGGACACTGTCAGAGCGCACAGCAAGACATGAAAAATGATAAAAACAAATGAAACACACTGATACTACAGACTACCCAGACAGAAACAAGCTCCATAATTTTTCCTGCTCAGAATGCACACACTCTGCTCCAAAATCCTGCCTGCCTTAAATACTGCTAGCACAGCATAGATACTGTCATCAGTTATTTAAATATTTTGATGAGACAACTGTACTATGTACTAAGAACATACTGTGAATGTGTTCTGTCAAATATACATCAGAGGAGAAGAACAGTAGAGGTTAAATACACCTGCCTCTAACCTAATAGTTTGCAAAGATTGTAGGGGCCTGCTGATATTCCATTAGTTGCTGCAGCAGTAGGCATCAGCTGCCTGTTAATTCTACCACTGACAGCATATTTGTGGTGATGTATATTAATATTTGTAGTGTTGTGGAGTTGTTTCTTTGGGGGGGGCGGGCAGGTTGTTCATTGACATAAACCTTTTGTCTGTCAGAGGCATCTGTTGATGAGTGGAGCTGGTTTGATTGGCCATTATTAAATCCCGCTGTGACTCCAGCTGCTTATAATGCATTCTCCTCAGTAATAAGGGATTCATCCTCTCTTCCATGCTGCACCTGGTTGTGCCTGGCTGTGCCAACACAGTGGTCACCAAAATTGCTAATATTTATTGGACAAATGCACCTAGATCCAGGACTCGGTCCCTTTGAACCCACCTCTGCTTTTGGGCACACCCCTCAAAAATGGTGTACATAAAATAAAAAGGTTACTAATCTTGAACCTTAAGAATTACATTCATGTCCCTGAAACCAGAAAACCAACAAGCCAGAGAAAATGGCAAAATGATGAATTTATTTCAAGGGTAACCCATTGCAGGACTAAAAGCTTGGACTCTTTGTGTTTGTTGAACTGCTGCCTTTCTAACAGGGTAATGCTGATAGATGACAGAAAAGATAAGAAATAACCATTTTGCTCTGCATGCACCGTTATTAATAAGGAACCTATTTTCTATGTTTTTAGCATTTACGCCATTAAAATTGGGGTACTGTGCTGTCTGTTTGTCAACACTGACCTACAGTATTAGATTCAGTGTATATGATGACAATGAGCATGTGCCAGGTAAGCAATAAAACTAAGTCCTTTCAGTTCAAGTACAATCTGTAAGCACACAGTACAATCCGTTTCACCATCTTTGTGTTGTCTAGATTTCTTGTCAAGCCTCTTGGGAACTTGAAAGCACTTTCTTGTAGCCCACTCTCCTTCCACAGCTAACAGGTGTAGTGACAGGTAACTGGACTTCAGCAAATCATTACTGACTTGTTATTACTCACAGAAAGAACTCACATGTACCCGAATTCAGTTGATAAAATTTACTGTATAATTTAATTTATATGTACACCTCCACAAACCCCACCCTCCCCCACCCATCATAAAGATCATTTCAATGAATACTGTTAATATATTTAGTCAGTTTTACAGCTTCTGCACAGGATTGCTGTTTTCATGAAATTCACATCTAGGGCAGCAACATCATTATCTTTGTTAGAGGAACCAAGAACAAGCATAAGTGGAGTGAACAAGAGGACTTAGTGGAAAGGGTGGAAACACACAGCTCATGTGGGGCATGTACTGAAGCAGCGCAATGGGGAAAAACTATGTACAATACAAACCATTCATAGAAATTAGTCTGTAAGATATAGAATTCAATACATTACATTTGATATATTAAGTGACAATGAGAAAGCCCAATCTTCCACAAACATACCACTGATCAATCAGTCAGGTAATCTGACATTCAGTTTGCCAAGAATGAACCAATTACCCAACAAGCCAGCATCTGCCTGCAACAGCAGGAACACTGTGATGACAGCTGTGGATTGACAGCATTACAGTATCTCAGCGTGTTAACACATTTTCTCTCCTGGCTGAGACTTGCCTGAACGATAAGCCTGCTCATTTCAAGGTCACCCCTACATAGGTAAAACCACCTCACATTTCTAAAAGCATCAAACTCACATTTGAAGCTTCAATCTTCTCTTCAGCTGCCTTCAGGTTTTGTAAAAAAAAAACATCTGTTCTACATAATTTATTTCTTTTCTTTTAAAATGAGTTAATTATGTTTTCTAGTTATGCAGAATGAACTGCAAAGTGTAAAGAGCATAGCAGGGTCAAACAGTTGATATGTTGTTGTCTAGAGAGTTTATGTGTAATGACATATGCTAAGACAGAAAAAGCAAAGTTAATAACATTCTAGCCTGGTAAGTGTGAACTAATCCTAAAGCAAACAACTATGGGCAGAAGTTAATAGTGATGACTAACAACCCCAAAAGTACCAATACGCCCTTGCTTTCTACAAATAGTTCAACAGGGATAAAATATAATTCAGGAACAAAAAATTGTAACTTATTATAATCACAGAGTTTTCCAGGTCATTTTAAGCATATTACAATCCTACAAACCACCTTCTTAAACAGCTAACATATGTGCTCCTTCTGAAGAATTCAGAGCATTAAATTCGGAAACCATCTGGATGACTGATACTGGTATGGGCATGTTTAGGGACAGAACGGCTAACATATACATTTCCCTGGGACGGGTGGCCCCAGTGTCTGCTCCACTTGTCCACTATGCTGTGAGTGAGTGCATGGCACTGTCAGCCAGAGGGGAAGTAGGGAGTGTCACTGTGGTAGTTATAATCTGGGCACACTTTTTGCACCAGTTTGTAGTCGGTGCTGTAGAAGGAAATGAAGATACAGATGACTTTGAAAGGTTTGGAGCACAACCAGGAGACATGGCTCTGGGTCTGCTCCTGGTAGCAGGTCTTGGATGGGTCGAAGTTGCAGAGCGTGTTCTTGGCACCCTTCTCGACTTTCTCATACTCAATACGACAGTTGAAGGACTTTGAGTCCTTTGCATCGATGACGGACTGCTGCGCTGTTAGGTCAAACTCCACTATCTTGGTGGGAGGAACCAAGCTGACCGACACGTTTCCCTGGCCTGTGGAATTGTGGCGGAAGTAGACGCTGAAGGTGCCATTGCCATGATCAACAATCTTACCAGTGATCAGCAGGTTGAGTTTGACTGTCTTAATATTGGAGTGGAAGTCCCCCCAGCCAAACATTTTCTTGAATTTCCCTGTCTTGACCATGGGCCGCCGTTTAGCCCGTGGCCTTGAGTCCTGCAGGTCTGTGGAGTTCCTCAGCCAGTCCCACAGGTCCTGCTCCGAGTAGGGCTCTGGGGTGTCATATTGAAGGTCCAAGGCTGTGCTGTTTTCTTTGCCGTGCAGAGTCTGTGACAGCAGCCTACTGATAGACATATCCTTACTGCTTTCTGTCCATATATGCTTTAGTGTTGATTTGGGGCTTCCTGACTTGACAATGTTTGACTTTGAGGTGTGGGCACTTGTAACCTGGGGAAGGAAAAAGACAGCATCCATCAGGTGATAGTTAAGAGCCAAGATCACACCATAAAGGATCATACGATATACTGAAATGACGGAGATGCTTATGAGACTTATATGGAATAGTGCTTAAATTATTGCAGTTTGGGTAAGAGAATTCATGAGACAGTAAGAAAAATAGAACAACATGATAGATAAATGCTACACAAACATGAAGGATGCTTAAGCTTTCTTAAGGGCCGCTGGCCACCGTCAGGCCTTTAATGAGCATCTGTCGGGGGCTTGTCCTCCCGGTGTCTCCCATTTGAATGACAGTTGCTTTGTTTACAGTTTTATTTCCACGCTTCTTCTTTTATTTACTGAATGGTAATTACAGACACACCCACCTACTGGTAGGGGGAGTTATTTTGTTCATGCAGGCACATGTCTTGTCATCTGTGCAGTGTGTTCAAGTGCCAATTTTTCAACCTGACTGGCCCAGACAAAGGTGACATGAAGCAATGCAACAGCTGGACTTTGTTGCTACTAGTTCTTTCATATCGCCTTGGTGTGTCTCTGCCCTAAGACTGTCATATCCAGGGAATGCTGACCATAACCTGGTGCATTTGTATCCTAAATACCTTCCACTAATTAAGAAAATAAAACCAAAGAAAATCACAGTGAACAGCTGAGAGACAGTTTCTGTGAAATGGACTGGACTATATTTGCTGCTGGACCAACAGGAATCACTGAACTGACAGAGACTGTATTCGGGTATATGTATTTCTGTACTGACACCATCATTCCAGAATAGATGGTAAAGGCTTATCCTAATTCTAAAACATGTCTCACTACTGACATTAAAACACTGTTTAAGGAGAAAAAGAAGGCTTTTTTAGAGTGACAAAGGGGAAAATTAAAGTCAGTCCAGAAAGTGTGAAAAAACAATTTTGGAAAGGGATGAGGTTCAGGAGTAGCTATTCAGGAGCTTAAAAGGGAAAGACAGAAGTAAGGAATATGCTAATGATTTGAATATATTTTATAATAGATTTGATAAACTTGACTTGGGGAATGAAAGGAATGCAATAAGGAATATGATCAGGGAAGAATGAATATCATTTGTTCACAACTGAACAGGAAGTATGCACTTTGTTTAGGAAGATGAGACCTACCACAGCATCAAACCCAGGCATGTTACTCCCAAAAATACTAAAATGCTGTGCATATCAGTTGACTGGCATTCCTTTCAGACTAGTCAACTAGTCTTAATTTTAATACCAGATATGCTGCGTGACATAAATAACACCCCCTACCAGCAGGTGGTGGTATTTGTATTCACTATTCAGAAAGGGAAAGGAGAAGAGCTAGAATGCAGAAATACAAGTGCAAACAAAGCAGCTCTCATTCACAGCAGCTGCTGTTTATACCTGATTCTAATCAAGACTATGTCTGATAAGAAGTTGCAAATGACACCACCATTCTCCACCCTTGGTCTTTTGGTTGTGGAGGAAAGAAGACTGAGGAGTCAAAAAAAAAAGAAGAAACTGCACTAAATCGGTAAAATCATGGATACTACAATGACAGCCCGAAGGGGCTTTCCTGAACCTTTCTCTGCTTGTGCATTGATCCGCTAAGATGAGCAGCCAATCAGAGTGGCCTCTCTCACAGACAAGGCCCAATGGGAAGACACCAATTGAACATGTCGAATTGGCTGAAAAGCTGCCTACAGGATTTGAATAGTGTCAATGGTGTGAGACACACTGGGAGGAAGAGTCACGACTGATATTCACTGATAGCTTGATGGTGGGCTTGGTGTGTCACGGCCCTAGACAATACACCTTAACAGCCATAACATGACAGTTGAAGTGAATAACATTGATTGCCTCATTACAATGGTGCCTATCAGTGGATGGGATATATTAGGCAGTAAGTGTGCATTCAGCCTTCAAAGCTGATGTGTTGGACACAGGAAAACAGGCAAATGTAAGGATCTGTGCGATGTTAGGTATTTTTTAGTCAGATAGGTATTGGTTAGGTACTTGTTGTATTAGAAATGTTTAGTGAAGACAGGATGTATAGTTAGACTGTTTAAACGCTTAGTCATTGTCATGAGATTTTAGCAGGGTGTACATGGGTAAGGATAACTAGATAGAAAAGTTTGATTGTCAGCAGGCAGGATGATTATTATTATTATTATTATATGTTTAGCCGTAATCTTAATCATAATATCTTCCTAGGCTTAATGTCCGGACATGTCCCTGAATGTCCTGTATGTTCTTAGATACACACCACTCAATCAACACTCACACACATTGATTTTCTCCATGTTTTGACCACTGCTTCGGTCAGCTGTAAAGCTGGCATATCAGGTGACGCCACGGTTTGATGTCCCTGTGTAGAATGGGGTTAGCCCAAACCAGATATAATGTACAGGCCTGTTGGGTTCGGGGTCTTTCATTCTTCGTCTGCCTGCGCGCAGTATTGGAGGTGGAAGACGCCTGGACGTGTAATGTTAATTTAGCCTGTGATCCTTTGAATAAACCAGCACGGTTTTTTGTATCCACTTGGACCGCCTCGTCTCTCTGAGTTGAGCAAATGGTCCCAAACCAACAGTGGCGTTCCTGGACCAGATTGAGCTGAAAATCCGACATGCAGTCCTGATTTCGACTGGTATCATTTCCTGGTCTTCAGTCAAGAGCGGTGCGGTCCCATACATCAACTGGCCAGCCAGAAACGAGGTAAGCGGAACTTTTGTTACACATAAACTCCGCACATTGAATTATTTCCAAATCAAAGTTGATGTGTGGAACTGCCCACTCTCGACGTTCCAAATTGGATCCAAAACAGTAAGGATAATGAAAACACATGTCTTATTCTCTGTGTTTTAACTGCTGTGCTGGTGTGTTCATTTGTCACATGTACAGTTAACAAAGCACATAGTCTCACGACAGGGAGAGTCAATAAGAACTGTTGATTACAGAATTTGGTACCAACAAAGAGACGTAAAATTCACGTTTTATAACCTCTGCTCTGCCTTCGGCTGCAGAGGAAGTCGGGAAGCCAACAGATTTTCAAAATAATGTTCACCACCAAATGATTTTATGCTCTTCAGGCAAGACTGAACAAAATGATCTGTCTTTGGTCGTAATTAAAGGTGGTATTTTACAAACGGCAAGTTTTCCCGGTACTGTTTACTTGCCCCTTGCATGGGGATATGCACATGCACATTGAGAGCCAATGTACCAGAGTCAAATTCCTTGTGTGTCCGACACACCTAGCCAATAAAGCTGATTCTGATTCTGATTCTGATTAAAGGGCACCTCATATACTCTCCACAACCTACTGTTTTCAGTCAGAGATTTCTTCAGCTCTGCTGTGACAAAGAAGACTACAGGAAGTCGAGAGGAGTTAACCCCCAGTTTTGCGCGCAGAAGAACGTAATCTTCTGTGGCACCTCATATACTCTCCACAACCTACTGTTTTCAGTCAGAGATTTCTTCAGCTCTGCTGTGACAAAGAAGACTACAGGAAGTCTTTTGTGCCAACTGCAGTTACATTGTACAATTCTCAGTCAGGAGAAGAATCTCCTCTTCAGACAATACACGTGTTAGGTATTTTTAGTCAGATAGATATTGGTTCGTGAGACCTCTCGCCAGGAATTTGGATCTTTGATAAATCCCACACTGTAACACGGTACAGGGCCATGATATTGTGGGGTGGTTAACTGCACAAATGGCTAATTAAAACGTTTTTCCACAACTGTATCACTCTAGACAAAGATTCATTGTGAGAATTCATTGTGGAGTTAACGTGCCTTGTGTAGCAGTGTAAACGGGCCGGGGGGAAACAGGCTTTAGTGGGAGAATTGTATTAGTTTAGGGTGGCTGCAGTCATTTTGAGATAAAATAATGGAACTGAGAGGAGTTAACCCCCAGTTTTGCGCGCAGAAGAACGTAATCTTCTGTAGAATCTTTGCAATTATTTGGTTCCGTTAGGCCAGAGAGCCTCTCATTACACGACAAAAGTCACATGTGGCATTGATTGATTTTGCATTATGGCCGACTGTGATGTTATTCAGGTTTGGAGCTAGTGTAAAACAGGCACACTAGGTGCAATCTTGTACCAATTGTTGAACAAATGGCTTGGCACACAGAGTCCAAGCTGGCGTGATACCGAACAGACTAATGCATAGTGCCGTTTGACCCGTGAACCAGCTGAACTCTTCAGACGACCGGTCCACTTTCCCAAGCAAATGGTCCCGGATGAACAACGGCGTTCCTGTACCAGGCTGAGCTGAAAAAAAAATCCGACATGCAGTCCTGATTTGACTGTTTTTCTGCAACGGCAGTGTGACTTCCTGGTCTTCAGTCAAGAGCGGTGCAGTCCCATACATCAACTAAAGCCCGGGCAGAAACAAGGTAAGCGGAACCTTTGATTAACACATAAACTCCGCACATTGAATTATTTCCAAATCAAAGTTGATGTGTGGGCTGCCCACTCTCGACGTTCCAAACAGTAAGGTTAATGAAAACACATGCCTTATTCTCTGTGTTTTAACTGCTGTGCTGGTGTGTTCATTTGTCACATGTACAGTTAACAAGCACATAGTCTCAAGACAGGGAGAGTCAATAAGTACTGTTGATTACAGAATTTGGTACCAATAAAGAGATGTAAAATTCACGTTTTATAAGCGAGTTCCTGCTAATTCATAGCAGTTGTCTCCTAAATTGCTTGATTTCTTTTTCATTTTATTCCCCCTGAAAAGATCAGGCGAGTGAGACCTCTCGCCTGGAATTTAGGATCTTTGATAAATCCCACACTGTAACACGGTACAGGGTCATGATATTGTGGGGCGGCTGAACTGCACAAAAGGCTGATTAAAACATTTTTCCGCAACTGTATCACTCTGGACAATAGGTTCACGGTGAGAATTCATTGTGGAGTTAACGTGCCTTGTGTAGTAGTGTGGGGTTTCTGTGGGGGGGCATAGAAAGATAGAGAAAACTGTGCAGACAGATTACGATGTTCTC